CTAAATCACAGTCTGTTAGTAATATTTTAGGCCAAAAGTACATTAAAAATGCCCAACATGGTATGAAAACTCACCCTTGATGGCAAACTTTTGGTTTGAGTGAAGCCAATGGGTGAGAGCCTCGTTAATGTTGAACACAATCCATCCGTAATAATGCCGAAAAATGCGTTTCATCTCGAGGAGTTTCAAAGTCCTTCTTCCTTCTGGGTCGGTGTTAATGTAGAAAAGTTTAAGCTACAAGGTAAATAAATCCGATTTTAGATAATGTAATCATATGGACAATGCATAACCCGTTGTAGGCATTATGACCACTTAGTTTAATGGACGACGAACTAGCATACGAGATTGCCAGCTGTGATTACCGAAATGGGGGGGATGAGTAAACTGAAGAATGCCGCAACAGAAGGGTACCTAAGGGAAAATTAATCCAGGCTGAGTTGAAAGTGAATATAGAGCATATTTTATTCACGAGACATTTTCAGGCCAAAAAAATTGACATTCATTTCTAGCTTTCCGCATTGTTGGGCAATTTTCCAGCCTAGATGATATTCAACCTTTAAGAATGTCCGTTTTGCATATTAGGAGTTTTTGTTTTCACCTAACACAAAAGCTTGCAGAAAGTCCAAATTGATGAGGGTTAACGCATTAACGTCCGCAAAATGAGGTGCATTAACTAAGAAACTCCATTTTATCTCATACAACTTTTTGCAATTCGACATTTACCCACATTAATACCATATTGCAGCAATGCTAACTTTTCATCAAGAAAATTAGTGCTCCTAAATAATTTCAAACGAGCAATGGTCGACACCAAAATGGTTTGCTAAGTGTTTTTAATTAATCCTTGAAATTTTGTTTGTGTGATCCAACTCATTTACTTCGTAAGCTCACGGAACAAACGAAATGACGAGAATGGGTTGATCCAATCGCCTCTTGCTGTAATGCGGGTGTAAGTGCATGGGATAAATGGTTATCTCCTTTCACAGAGAAGTAACATTTTTGGTCAGCTAAAATTTATTCACCCAAAGAGCTTTAGAACGGCAGATCATCGTACAGATTGCTGAATTCTTAGGTATTAATAAGTCTTACTCTTGGTGAACGATTGCCAAACGAATTCAAATTACTCGAATTCGAGAGGGTGATCAGTTGAGTTTTATGGACTGGAATGATGCATTCGCTAAATATGTCCTGCTATAGGGTGTTGAAAATTGGGCGTGAAATTGCATACCGATTTTAACGAATGTGTTTTTGGGATCCAATAAAATCTAAATTGTGCAAAAAGATTTCACCAAAATTGAACGTCTCGAAGCTTACAAAAATAAAGGGTTGCGGTGGCACTGTCTTGCGGTAAGACGAGGATGGCTGTAGGTCGTGTGGTTGCAGTTGCCGTCGATATTTGAAGGCCGCAAGGTCTTCTTTTCCGCCGACTGTCCGGTAGAGATGAAATTCAGCTTGGATGGGGATTGTGTTTTGCGGGAGTTGTGTGACATTAAAAAAATACTCATGCTGGGAGGCGGAATCTGAAAGGAATGTATACATTATGCATTGCAATTACCGTATTTTTTTAACGATTCTATTTTGCTGCTCATGCCCCCTCTGCCCACTGGGTTTTTTTATGTTTCTAAATAGAGTGTGTGGCCATTCTTCCACAAGAATATTAGCTTATGTTGGCTAGCATTGTGGTTCACGGAACACTAACCTTTTGTGTTTTATTACCAAATGTTTTCAGAAGAATCTCTTCACGTCTATCGACTCTATACAAACAACACAGTAAAATAGGATTCGTTAACAGATAGATAGGCATTCAGCAAATCCATTTTCCACTGTTTAAACACGAATGTTGCCATCGGTTTCCGAGTTACACGGCATCGGCTGTCAAGAGGTCGGTTTTAAAAACGATCGCATCGTTTTGTGTACTCGTGTTATACGTTTGATTACCTGCTTTTCGCTTCTTCCATTTGCATTTTCAGCGTAACAGCACTGAAAGACAAGTCTGCTTGTTCGAAACTTCAACACATGTTGCTCGCATTGCCCGCAAAGCCAAAATTGAAGCAATCAAATGGGAAAATTCATGCACACTTTCAAAACGGTTCATCTTTTTAACGGCAATTGAATGAATTGAGTTGGTAGTGAGAAACTTTGATCATCCCATCAGTAATTATCCGCTCCTTGGCCACCTCCACATTCGCCTCTACTAAAACTGCCTTCCAAAACTAATGCACCCAGAGCAGCTTCAGAGATGACTCAAGCGCTGCACTTGTGTGTCCCATGTCACCACACCTCCAAAGTGCCTGTCCTTGTTTTAGTCGGCTAAATGGCCTTCTGTCTGGCATCACTCCTCCGAGTGTCATACTAACCGCTCTAGTTCGTCCGCCCGCTTGCCCTCCTCCCACTGTTCGTCCTCCCGCCACTCCAAATTTATGACAATACTGCAGCAAGTCTTGCACAAAAAATTTCCGCAAACAGCTGCGCCAATGAAAATTTTGCCCACCCTCCACCCTCACCACTCAGTACTACCTTGCAAATTAGTTGTTGTTTTTTTTTTCACCGTGTTTTGTCTTTGCATTTGCCTGCATTGTAAAAAAAGCAGTCCTTTTGCTAAAGCAGTGAGCGAATGAGAAATCAACCTCTTGCTAAAAATTTAACTGTCATTGATTTGAATAAATTAATGTATTATGAAGTAAAATGCTTATTTCCTTTGTTCCCACCTACTCAGCTTTCTGGCGTTCTCGAGGTTTCCAATGCGACTAGTTCAAATAGTGGAAGATGCGTGTCTGTGTCCACTGCAAGTGGATGGTAATCTTGGCAACAAAGCCCATCCTTTTAGCGCTGTAGATAGTTCTCCTCTCTGCAAACTGATGATTCGACTTTCTACGTATTCTTGGGGAGGGCTCTTTAGCCTCCTCAGTGAGGTTGAGCATCACCCTGGCGTGGCGTTGAAAGATTGGACGAGCATTAACTTTCTGCCCTTGTCTTCTTCCCGTTCGCCAGTCCCCCTTATCAGGCGCCATCTCTCGTTTGAGAAGCACACACACACACACACATCCACACGAAAGTGTCGTTTGTTTTCATTACTAAGACTTCCCCTTGCTAAGGGTATAATTAAAAATCAATGCTAAAAACGCTTTATCCGGAGGGCTGGACCGGGTACGAGTGGTGTACACACCGTCCCCGCTAAAGTCTCAGGGCACATACTCGTCCTTGTGGCTTATGGATTTGGGAAACAAGGTTGTTCTTCCATCAGAGAGTGAATAGCTTTTAAACAAAAATTCCAACCACTCTCAGCTTTAGTGTCACCACTTAGCACGAGTTGTTGTTGTTGTTGTTGTTGATGATGATGATGATCAGGTGGACCGTTTTAAAGGGTCTCCCACCAACTGGTCAATATACATTTTACTTTAATTTAGACACTTCAATCAGTTTAATATTATTTTATTTGTTAGATAAGAGGGGAAAGTTGACACCTCCAAACAATCCAAAGCTCTCAGAATGCAACGTTGCTTATCCAAGATCGGTGATCCAATTTGTGCGGTGGAAAAAAATAGGTGGTCAAATGTACGCTTTGAGTGACCGACAGGTGACACGATCTCAATACTCCCCTAGTGTATTTCTTTCTGCAATCTCTACCTACTAAAAGCGGTTTTATGATCTCTGGCTAGGTATTTTATGGGCACTCTAGGTCTTATCGCCAAACAATCCTGCTGAGTCAGTGTGTTTTTAAATCCAAAAGCAAATTTTGTGGACACAGTGGAGGGACATAAATTCTAATTGCACATCAAAGTACGGCTTGGCCAAGGAGATGATGAAAAATTTGCCTTAACGCAGAACTACTACAAGGTAGTCAAATTTATTGCTCCTACTTCCGTGAAAACTCGACACCATATAACTGTTGTGGGCACTGTAGTCATGGCAATCTCAAATTTGGGCTTTTTGCATTGCATTTTAGGGTTCATTCCACTCATTGCCTCCAGGCTTTTGAACAAACCAAAATAAATGTGGCCGGATAAGTGAGGTGGAGGAGTTCACCAAGAGAAGCGCAGAACTCGTCCGAAGAAAATATAGGTCGATGAGATCCAAACCACTAGACAATTCGGTTATAAGATTTCGGGCTTTGTTCCGTTCAGCCCAATGCCTGCTCTACTCCACAAGTACTTTTTCCAGCAGAAATTAGGCATTTTTGTTGATTATTTTTATTACTTGGATATTTGGAGAGGGCTATTCTATAAAAGGTGAGATACCGGCACTGGAAGTGAATGCTCTTTGAACTTCCAGTTGGACGGCAAAGCTCCTTCCACGAAGTCTCCCAAAAATGCTTAAAATGATGGGGTAAGTGGAAACTTGTTGTTAAGAACAAGCCCGTAAATTCTACTTAAGTTGTTTATGGGTTTTTGGATGTCTGACATGATTGGTATGGCAACACTATCGTCCATGGAACGATAAATGCAAGGTGATAATGAAGTGAGAAACAAAGTTATTTGTCTTGGTAAAGAAGGAATGATGTCTCTCTTCTTACTAGACGACTTTCGACGTGCATACCGATACAAAGGTTTGAAAAAGCATTTATACAAGGAAAAAGATAACCAGAGGGTGAGGCAAAGAGTCTTTTAGTTAATATTTCGAAGGTATCGTAAATTCAACCCCTAGGAAAGCGCGTTAAAGTCAATTGTGCAAGTTTATTTTATGTGCTGAGGTAAGGTTGAGAAGAAAAAGTATTTTAAAGTAATCTCTATGAAGCATGGTTTTATCAGCGCATCTTAGTTGTTATCATCAGCATCGCTAACGGCGTCATAGCCACGTAACGGCGGTGATGCGCAAATCACTGATTTTGGAATGCTAAATGTCAGTGCAAAAATTGGATCTTACGTTCAGTATAAAAGTTGATATTCATTCGCAGTAAATAGACAAATTTTCCCAAAAAGAGAAAATCGGAATTATGTTAAAGTGATTAACTGGAAAGGGGGATCATTTGTCAAGTATCCACAACCATAATTGATAGAGATAGAAACCACTGACAACATACAATGGCCTTTTACATTATGGCAATAATCGTCGATGGTTTAGAAGCTAATCTAGGGCAAACAAGAACAAATAAATGAAATGCAGTCAGCCACTTGACGAGGCAATTATAGTTTGTATGCAAGCTAATGCCTGGGTACTTGGGCAAATATACGACCGCAACTCATGTGAGGTGAAAGGTGGCGGCTATTCTGTAGTGTCCCAGCCTTAGCTAATTATTTTTTAAAAATAAAGATATCTCCTCAAAGTGAAACGACATACATGCAGACATAAGATGGCTGAATTTTAAGCAAAGAATCTGATTAATAGCGATTTTGTAACGAGCTCTCCTTGCGCATTATAAAGGTAATAGCTCAAATCCATATGACCTAAAATCTCTTTTGCAATCGTATTCATTAATCCATTCAAAATCATAAACTAATTTAAAGTGAGCTTTATAATTCCTTAACGTTCTTTGAATGTAATATAAGAAGGGTATCAAGGTGACTTCTAATTTATGGTGAAACATGAAATTGTTAAATCTCTGATGATTGGGTGGGGTGTGTGAATAATCAACACTGAAGTTGGTACTTTTTAAGGAAGTGGAAGAGTACTTAAAATATGTTTTTTTTGCAACAGCAATAACTTGGCATTTTTGCTTTGCGCAGTTACCTTGGCACCCGAAAGATGCGACACCTACAAATTTGTAATTTACTTGATGGCCTATGACGCATTCTAGAAATCAACGTCTGAGTGGCACACCGAGCATTGGAAAATGTATCGTAATTAGTTACTCACCTTGTAGAGGGGAGACATTCTCCTCTACCAAGGCCATTTAAGCTAAACTTTAAAGTAGGAACAACCATCTTGGCATCGGAACTACGAATTAACTGGCCTTTGTTTACTTGTGCACGTTTCGGTATCTGACAAGGCCAGCTTGAGATGTCGAAATATAGTCAAATCGCACTCACTATATTTCTTCTTTTCATCAAGGAAGGCGAGAACCGAGTCAGCGTAGTATGGCGGTGGAGCGAGGAGACGACCGCGCTCATCAGTGGTTGACTGATAGAGGCGCGTCATGTAATCCGGAGGTACACGGGTTCGCTCCTCTATACTCCCTCCTACCCCTAAAGTAATATTGATGACGAAAAGGAGGAGGATGAGGACAAGCGTAGTGACTGCGTTGGGCAACCGAATTGAAACCCGAGAGAATTTGTCATCCGCCAGTTTGCAGAGGGGATATGCTGCATTGGCCGGTGGTCTCAGTCGAGTTGCTGACTAGCTTTAATTCTCGTTCTCTTGCTCACTTGTTCTTCCACACACGTGCTGACGCCCTAAAGCGGCCTCTGTGTGGGTAGTTTGGAGAGAGGCAAATCGCGTAAAGTCGACTGAAATTTGCTCGTCTCCCCTTTCTCCTTCATCCCCTTCCAATACGCACGCACTCACGCACGTGCGCATATGCACGTCTAGTGTGGATTTCGTGGCCGCCCATTGGCCACAACAAGTGATTTGTGTGAGCCAGTAGGCCAGTGTTGGGTTAAGTTATTAAGCAAGTAAGTTGATTAGTAAACCACCAATACCCTCACAAGTAAATCATAAGTTTAGTTCCTTTTAAGGCGAATCTGTATCTGTACTTTGTTTGATGGGATGTCGGACATCGTCTAAATCCATCAAATGAATTTAAGAGTTTGTCATGAGACATGCCTTAGGCATCAGTTTTAGCCATCCATGAAACCGGCTCTTCTCCACATCTGTTGTCAAAAGTTATAATCCAGTACTCACTGATGGTCCGCAAACAAATTGTATGTAGGATAAGAAGTTCCAAAATGCTTTTTATGTTCACCTTCGGTTACTGCTGAGAGGCATAGTGTCCATAAGATTCTACTGCCTATGAGACCCCCATATGCATACCTATTCCATTCTAAAGTTACTTACACCAGTAATCAGAAGTGGTAGCACTGATTGCATTTAATGTAATGGTGTCGATTTCTCCCAATCTCCTTTGTAACATGGCATTTTTGTTGGCATTTCGTGCATTCGTACCCACCCACCCGCTTGCACACACGCACACGCAGGTGGAAAATATGTTTTGCCTAGTGGAACACCATTTAAAATAAGCATTCTCTTTGTGGACTCTCAGTTGCTATGCAAGACAGTGTTGGTGCAGGAGTGTAAGGATCAAACATCCTCTGGCTGCATCCTTGCAACGGCCTTCAGTAACCAATGGAGGAGGAGTTGGGGGCCTCTCAAGCACTGCAGTCGCAATGCAAAGCCATGAAGGCGCACTCGTAAGCACTTCTCCCTTGCTCCTTCCATTTAATCATTCTAAAGGCTGCTTTGCTTCTAAAACGTTGAAGGATGAAAGATCGTATGAAATCCACTTGAACAATGGCCACCCAAAATCAAATAGGAGTTACGCACGAAATAAAATCTCCGAGGTCTCAGTTAGGATCCATTCATGCAATAATTGACTTTTAACAATTTTTTTGCATTGGCTGATCCTTTGTTATTAATCTCATTGACTTTACAAAAAAAAACATTTTGTGGGTGCAGATACTACTTAATTCCAAATGTCTCTTTTAGCAATTAACTTTAAAATGCTATTGGTTGGTTTATCCACCAATTGTTTTAAAGAGAATTTCTCGTTGCACTTATCTACCCATAATACGTTCGCTTCTCACGGCTCGATAACCGGATACAATTTAAAAGAATGGCAAGCAAATACTACTTACTTTTCTAGCCAAGGCCTGGGTGGCTTAGACGACCCTGCTCACAAATTGGCATTTGACAGTTATTATCTGTGCCATGGTTGTAAGAGAGACACACTTCCTATCGTGGTCTCTGGAGTGGGGTCAAATCACGCACCTGATGCATCAATCTCAATGGTGTTACCTGTCTGCCAAGTCAACGCCTTCACGTCTCACGTCATGATTCCCTTCACCTTTTAAAATCAGCTTTTGGTAAAACCAATCACTAAGGTAGATTTGAGGTAAAATTTGAGCATCAGGATACCCAGATTAAGGTTTTATTCGGTGCAAGAGTTCATGGTGGAGCTCCTTTGTTTGCCAGAATAGCAAATGTTAACAGGAGGCACGTCAATTCGACATAAATCTTTCTAGCTTGGGTGCGTGTGTGTGACGAGTCAAAACTGAGCCCACTCCTCCTCCCTCTCCCAATCACGCAATAAAAAGCTGCCAAAAGAGGAGGCAAAAATGACCATACTACCCTTTTTCTATTGTCATGCCATGCCTACTTAAATGCCTTCGGCAAAATTGAGTGAATGTGGCTCCCTCCACCGCCACTTTATGAAGTCTTTTACTCCCACAATCTTCCCACTCGTGTCATAGCCCCACGGCTCTCAGCGGCTTTGGAAGGACGCCTCAGGAGCTCACATCTCATGCAGTCAGTGCTGACATAAGTTGACGACCACTGACGCTTGGTAAGCTGAAATAAGGATGACGTTCTGCACTAATTTCAGCAACATGAAAACGTTACTTTTTCTTTCCTCCAATTTCATCACCAAATTCTGTTTGAGCTCATTTTACAATCCATTTGTCAGGCAAACTTCTTGTGGTAGACAATTGTTAAGCTCCTAGACAATTCTTAAGAAAAGCCAATTTAAAAAAAGAAACGGAACAGATGATGCCCTATCGACATGCACAAAGAAGTTGGCATAGGCTGCTGGCTTGATCCGGAGAGGCCAAGCCACCCTACGGAAGGTAAATGTGGAGCCTTAATTATGGCCACCAGTTTTCACAGACTTTGACCAACGTGGATGCGAGGAGATATCCGATCGTACCTCAACTATCCCTCCTAATGATCCCACTGAATTTTGAATATCTTTTGTCTTTGTGTTGGCTAACTCTTATGGTCTCTGTTAGAGGCAAGAACGCTGATACAAGGAAAGTGACATTTTATGGAGGATAAGGAAGATGTTGGCTATTGCATTCGTTACTTTGCCTTCGTCGTCCCTTCGTTACTAGTCGACTATCTTTCCATCCTAAGGTCATCTGATCAGCATCGTGGACAGTTTGGTAATGAACGGTTCCATGATTAACGCCACCTTCACTGGTGAGGCTACGTCACGAAAGAAGTTGGCGATGATGGTCATCATTTTCAACTCTCTTTAAAACAATTTAAATCAAGATCCGCCTCTACTTTCCCCTGCCACCAACACATCGTCCTGTGTTACTCCTGAAGACCAAAGAGGACGCAAAGCTCAGACAATGTATGCACCACTGACCTCCACGAGGGTTAAAAAAATGATTTCATTCCAACCATGAGGACCCTAAAAGAAACGTTTTTCCATCATTATGAACAAAGCCATAAAAAAAATATCCGGAGAGTGCCTTAAATGGACCGTATCAGATAAAAGTGCAGTTGGAAGCCCAAGACGCACATATTCAGAGGACTGCAGACAACAGCATCTTAAAATGCCAAAAGCATTCCAGCCAAGGAGGGATAGCAAATGACGGTAGTATGGCGTAGTTGGATAATAAGCAATTTACGTTACCCGCACCTGTACTTCACCACTTCATTGGCTCTGATTAATGGCATGGGAGAGTGGCGACTTCCAATCGTGGTGGAGATGATGGAATTGATGGCTTGTGGTGGTGTATGGCTCCGACCCACTTAGCCAAGGGCGCACACAAGCATACATCACCCAACTACAGAGGAGCCCCAGCTTGGGAATCCATTAAAGCGGAAAAGCGGTTACCATTTTCCACCTATTTTGCAAAAGGCTTACGTGTGTCGTTAAAATGATCCCGCCGTAAAGCAATTATGGCCAAAGGGGTGGTGTAGGTTGTGCTATCGCTCTGGTAGTAGGGATTTAGTAACTCGAACCTTCAAGGCGCCCTCATCAAAGCCACCTTTGACTTTAGTACCGTCTTAATGGTAAAGTCGGCAAAATTGTTTGTCTAAAAAACCCTATTTTTCAGCTATCCAGGCTGCATAAAGAAGAAGGGTATCCCCGGGATAATAAACTCACTTGTGACTGCTATTCCGAGCTTGAGTTTTGCATGTTGAAATTGCCTCATCTGTCAATACCACCGTTAGGATTCACCAGCATGGCGTTTACAGCGCCCAGCATCAATGCACCTTGCCTGTTCTTCCTTGTCTAGACAAAAGCAGACAGCCAATCACAGGTGGATAACGGGAGGGTAAGGCAGACCAAAGGGGGTGAGTAAAAGCAATGCAAAAAACAAAGAAGTCGAGAGAGGAAGACACCTCCAACTCTCCGCACTCTTCAGCTGCCATGACGGTAGACAGCGATGACAGGTCATTACTAATCTTGTCAATTGCCGCACCTGTCAACCTCGCAACGTTTTTGTGGGTGATTCGAGCGCCGCAATCTACTGTGTTAATATGTAGAAAAAAAAGTAATCCAAGTTGTTTTACTGAAGATAAATAAAGTAACGTAGTTTATGCAAAACCTGTCAAAATGAGTGTAGGGGATGAGTTTGACTTCAATCACTAAAGCTCCAATCACAGTGCGACCGTAGAAATTGCTCGACTCGCTTAACCGCCTTGACACAGATCTTCCAATCTAGGCACGCATGCTTCCATAATGAGAGCCAAAACAAGTCGTTTGGAAGTGTGAGGCAAACTTTGGAACTTAGCCCACCGATACGGACGAATCGAAAGGCGTCCCAGAAGTGCTTCACTCATTGAAATGGGTGAGAATTCGGTAAGCTAACCAGTGGGAGGAGGTCTTGAGAGCACAACAACAGAGAGTCACCTCCCAATTCCAACTGACAACTGTGTAGCTCTCCGAGACCTAAGGAGGGGCTGGAGGATCTGAGGATTTCAGACCGCCCAGTGGAGGCACAATGGAGAGGCCCCTAAATTAGCCGTTACCGACAATCAATGTATTGCAAAGTTTATAAAAGGTGATATCATTAAAATGCGGCTTTAATTTTAAAGGCAACTAAGTTCTTCCGATGTCTTCATAATTAGGTGCTTTGAATGACATGGGCTGGTGTCTAGTGAAGAGTTGAGTACCTAAAAAGATGAATACACATCCCCCTTCAATCACTTATGTTGTCAGCTAAAATCGTTTCTTTCATTACAATCTTTGTGCTATTTGGTTGGATTTGGTGTGACTCGATTGACACTTCCTTCATTATTAACGCCAGAAGGCAATGAAAGTAGACCACGTGTGAAGTGAGACTAAATGCGAATCGCTACATTAGGAGTCAGTTATTTTGGTTACAACATTGTGAGTAAGTGATCAAAGGTCGACGTGTTTTAAATGGGTGGATTAGTGATGAACGCATGATGGAGTGCTAGCAAAAATAACGAGATGAATGACTAATTACATTGAAAATGATCAAATGAAATGGAAGGGGAAAAACAATTAAAGGCGCAAACTGGTCAAGAACGGCTCCAGGAGCAAAAAGGTAAGGGAAATCGGATGGAGAACAACTCTGCCATACAACGGAAATGGGACGAGACTAGATTGAGAACAAACAAAAGTGAGCCAATCCCTAT